AGTCGTTCGGGCCCCTCGTCCTGGTGCGAGTCGTTCGGGCCCCTCCTTGTGTGTGAGTCGTTCGGGCTCCTCGTGGTGTGGGTCGTTCGGGCCCCTCGTCCTGGCGTGAGTCGTTCGGGACCCAGACATATACAAAAAGAGAGAACTATACGTCTCAAATTCGACAGCATTGCCCACTTTGTGTATACTGACAAAAAAACAACCCCCAAGGAAACCCTGCAGAACCCAACTACGCGCGTGCGCTCCAAGACGCCCGATTGAAGCCACTGGCTCCCCCTTTAACCATCTCGTCTACCCCATGCGCCTCTTGTCCACCGGCACAGCACGGTGGCGGAGCGGGCCGGAGGCCATTAGGATACTCCCAAGGGTGGTGGGCGGAGACGCCAAAGGCTTCGAAAACCGCGAGGGCGGGGAGGATAAGGGAGAAGAAAAGGACGGAGAGGGAGGGCTCGGAGGCCCTTGGAGGGGGGGGCGTGCCCATCCGGGGGAACGGTGCACCCCCCCCTCCCCGTCATGAAAACGAGGCACCGGCCGTGGCAACGACCCCCCCCCTATCCCCCCCCGCGACCTGAGTAGACCACCCAGGCCAACGGGGGACGTCATAGGGGGGCGGGGGTTCTGACTTCCATGAAAGAAGGAGGAAAGCGGGAGGGAAGGATCAGGCAGACGAAAGCCCTTTTAGGCTTTACCCGGCGCGTGGACATGCCCTTTTTGGCTTTTGCGGGGGCTAACCCGCGCGGTCGCCCGCAGGCGACAGGGCGCCCAGGCCCTCTCCGCGCGCGCGCAGGCGCGTGGCAAGCTACATGCGCACGATCGTCCGTGGAATCGAATGGAACCGTCTGCGCTCATCCGGCTCGGAACGGGTCGAATTGTTTCCTCAGGGGTCGTGCCGCCTGCCAATTTCCAGATGCAGTAGAGACTCCGCGCGTCATTCTCGCAGGTCGTGGTGCATGGTTACCGCGTGGCGAGGCTGACGTCATCCACAGTGCACTGCCTGGCAAGCACTTGTTGAAGTTTTGGGTGGCAGTACGTGCCGAGGAGGAGGTTGTCATTCCTGTTTCTTGTGGCAACGACCGAGCGTCGCCATATCGTCGTCGCCCAACAGACATTGCGGATTGTCTACCGCCACATCTAGTTCGTGCACTCAAATTGAACGCCGTGACAGCCATAGAGTTCGCGGAGGAGGGCCTCGCGCAGAAGTTCGCTCACTTTGCCAAGAGGCCGAGGCAGGATGGCTACGGTGAGTTGAACTGCATGAGGAAACTCGTCGCACAGTTAGGTGCGAAAGAGCCCCCCCCTCCCGAGCGGCCCAGCACTTCCTGGAAAGCTTGCGGTGACACGGTTTTCGCGCCCGCAGATATCGTGGCTCGGGGGTGCAGTTGCGCCCGATTGGTGAAGTTCGCCGTGCACATGTCCGTGGGCTGTTGTGGCTTGGGGCCCAGCAACGTCGCTCGCAAGACCAGGTTCAACTTCGAGTCCGAGATCGTGCCGGCCTTGCTGCATGCTGCGAAGGGCAAGTTGCTTTGCGAATTGCGGACGGGGTCTGGTCGCAACGAAGATGTGGTGCGTCTGAAGGTTCACGACGACAATCTCGGTAGTGCTACCATCGTGTGCAACATGCACACGTACACTGACAGGGATGCTAGTTGGCGCGTAGATTCCGACGGCGACTTCGCAACTGACAAGCATCGCATGTTGTGGATGAGAAGTACGCGCGTATTGTCCCACATGGGCATCCAGGATAATGCGCTCAGCGCAGGCTGTCGAGACATTCGCATTGCTAGCCCGCACGTTAGCCCAGATATTCTGGACACCGCCTATCGGAGCGGAGCGCTTCATGTCGTAACGGCTGCGCCGAAGAAAGATTACGCTACTCGCATCACTCTGGAGCCAGAGGTGGCTGAAGAGGGAGAGTATCTCAGCGTTCTCCTGGAATGGGTTGGCAATCGACTATACCAGCACGATGGTATTGTCCGCAGCTCTACTGTGGAGCGTACTCTGGACCAGCCCTTTGGGCGTGAGTGGTTTAGAGAGCTCTCTCTCTCTCTCTGTTCTCAACCGCCCTTTGGGCGTGAGGGGGCAGCGCTCATTCAAGCCCCCCTCTTCTTTGATCGATCTCCTCCAAGATGACCCCAAGAAGCGCCCAGGAGGCACCGAGAGGCCCCATGATGGCCCCAAGAGGCCCCCAGGAGGCCCCCAAGAGGCCTCCAAGAGGCCCCCAAAATGCCCCCGAGAGGCCCCCAAGAGGCCCCAAGAGGCTCCCCCGAGGCATCCAAGACGTTCCTGGAAGCCCCCGGGGCCGCCAAGAGGCCCCCACGACGCCCCAAACGGCCTCCAAGAGGCTCCCAAGAGGCCCGAAGAGGCTCCCCCAAGGCACCCAAGACGCTCCTAGAAGCCCCTGGGGCCGCCAAGACGCCCCCAAGATGCCCCAAAAGGGGACGAGGTGCCCGAACGCCTCACGCCACGAGGAGCCCGAACGACTCACACCAGGACGAGGGACCCGAACGACTCGCACCACGAAGAGCCCGAACGACTCACACCAGAAAGAGGGGCCCGAACGACTCACACCAGGACGAGGCGCCCGAACGACTCACACCACGAGGAGCCCGAACGACTCACACCACGACGCGCGCCCCGAACGACTCACACCACGAGGAGCCCCAACGAGTCACACCACGAGGAGGGGCCCGAACGACTCACACCAGGATGAGGGGCCCGAACAACTCACACCACGAGAAGCCCGAACGACTCACACCAGGACGAATAGCCCGAACGACCCACACCACGAAGAGCCCGAACGACTCACACCAAGACGAAGGGCCCGAACGACTCACACCAGGACGAGAAACCCCAAACGACTCAAATCACGAGGAGCGCTTTCTCTCCCTCCTCCTCCGCCTCGTCCTTCCCCCGCCCCCCCCCCACAAGGAGGATTCGCAAGGGGGCGGGGGGAAGGAGGGGCAGGGGATATATACGGAACCCAGCGGACACACGCCTGACTGTCGACACGCTTCGCGAGAGCTGCTGCTGTGAGATGGGCTGGTGGGGATACGCGAAGCGTAAAGAATTCCCAAGAAGCTCCCACGCAGCTTCCAAGGGCCCCCCAAGACCCCACGAGGCCCCCAAGAGCTCACGAAGAAGCTTCCCAGACGCCCCCAAGGGCTCCCAAGAGGGTCACAAGTACTCCTCCTGAGAAGCTCCATAATGCCCCCAGAAGAGACTCCCAGAAGCATCCACGAGCTCTCCGAGATGCCCCTTCCCCAGATCCCCAACACTCAGTTTTTCTCGCGTTCCTTACCCTTGGATCCTTCACTGCGTTTTCCTCCAATTGCGATTGGATGAGGATGAGCTCGGGGTGGTCCTGGAAATGTGTGTGGGGGGGGGGGGGGGCTCTGGAGGTCAGCGTGAGTTCTGAGAGGTTGTCGGTTGCGTGTCTCCTGCAAACACAGCCAAAAACAAATAAATGATGGAAAGACCGCACATGCATCACCGATCCCCAAACGGCCCACATGCGTATGCATTCGGCAACGTGCACGATGTGGGATGTCAAGCACGACTGGCCCCATCCTCCTCGAAACGGTCGCCCTCGTCATCCTCCGCCTCCACCTCCTTCTATCCGTCCATCGCTCCCTCATATCCCTGCCCCACCTCCCTCTCCTCCATTTTCTCCTCGTCCTCCTCATATTTCCTCCCATAGTGGGGTGGGGCGGACCCCGGGCGAACCCTCAAAAACCCAGACAACATACAGGAATCCCTGCAAAGCTCTGAGGAGGAGGAGGAGGAGGAGGAGCAGGAGCAGGAGGAGGAGGAGGAGGAGGAGGAGGAGGAGGAGGAGGAGGAGGAGCGACAGCAGCATCAGCAGCAACATAACGGCCCACGAGACGCCCGAACGGCCCAAGAGAGCCCCAAGCAGCCCCCATGAGGCCCCAAGAAGCCTGCAAGAGACCCCAAGAGGCCTAAACAGAAGCCCCAAGAAACCCCCCGACGGCCCCCAAGAGCCCTCAAAACTGTTTCCAAAGAAACCATCGAAAGGCCTGCCACGATATGTCAACGAACATCCAAGAGGCCTCTGACCTACAACCCAGGCGCGGTGGCGGGATGGGCCGAAAACCACTAGATAGCCACCTCGTAAGACAATAGAGGCCGAAGCCCCCACAACAAGCTCCAAACAAACCGTTTCATCCCCATGCGTTCTGCCGCAACGCCTTTGGAAAACGACCACGGCCCACCAACGCCGCCTGGCCCGCGACCGCGCAAGCAAACGCCCGCGATGGCACAATACGGGCCGGCGGAATGAGCGAAGCGATTCAATAGTTTTGCCCTCATTAATTGTAGTAGCATTCGTAGTATTAGTACTATTGTCATGTGTAGTAGTATGATTAGTACGATTCGTCTTATTAGTACTTCATGTTATTATTGTTCGTATTCGTCTTATTGTTCTTATTATTAGTAGTACTTCTTGTCATATTTGTATTATTATTATTAATGATTGGTTTCTCCTTCTTCTCCCTGCTCCTCCTTCTCATCCTCCTCCTTCGCTCCACTACCCTGGGGCAGGGTTATCAGCTCGTCATTGTCGTTGTCGTCGGGGTCGTCGTCGTCGCGGTGGTCGTCGTCGTCGTCGTTCAGCTGGGTCGGCGGCACCACCCGCAAGGCCTTCGCAATCCTACCCGCAGGGGCAGGGAAGGCACCGACCCGGAATCGGCGATGCACCGCCGACAGATCGGCGACCAGGCCCCGTGACGACACTCGGCCGCACGCCGGGCCCCCGGTCGGCGACGAGTGGGCGGTGGTGGGTCGATGCTTCCCCCCCCCCTGAGCCCATCCACTAGGGGAACAAAAAGTGACATAAACATAAAAACTCGGAGGTCCGCGCAGATTGCTCGGATCGGCGGTGCGGCCCCCAGGCGGCGCCTCCGGCGCCGCCCCCGGCGCGCTCCGTGCGCCAGGGAGGGGGGTCCAGCGCCGATCCGAGAAATCCGCGCGGACCTCCGAATTGTTATGTTTATGTCATTTTTTGTTCCCCTATCCATCCCCAACTTGCCGTGACTCTGGGAGCCTCAGAGGGTCGGGGTGTCCTTTTTCTTCACCGCTCTTCTGTTGATGTCGACGTCTGGAGTATCTGGATGTTGACTTGAGTGGTATTTGCCGAATTCGTGGCACTGTGCGACGCCTCGCCGCGCGCGATGCATGGGGAGGCGGTGGTGAGACGAAAGGGAGGACGAGCGAGAGAGAGAGAGAGAGACAGACAGACAGACAGAGGATGAGGTGTGCATGCGGGCAAGCGGGCGCACGGCGGTGGGACCAGAAGCCCTCTGTGGCCCGCTGTGTGCCTACGACCTGCCACGACCCCCCCCCCCGCGGGGCCCGCGGGCAGCGAAGGCTGGCGTGCAAGGCCCCTTAGGTGGCGTACTTCTGCACCCACTCGCGGGCCGTCTGGTCGTGCTTCTCGGGGATGGACAGACCCCCCTTTAGTAAAACGTGGTTTAGTGAAAACGACCTGAGGCCCAAACCTGGCGGGCGCAAGGCTGGAAAATAGCGGCCACGGCGCCCTCTCGAGAACCGAAAACGGACAATTCACTAATCGACGTGTCACTGTTGGGGGGTCTGTCCGCCCCCGAGCTTCGCGCGGTCCTTCAGGTACGACTGGGCGATCTCCGGCACCAGGGGGTCGTTCGGGTTCGGGTCTGTGAGCAGCGACGAGACGGAGAGCAGCACCTTCGAGATGGTCAGGGCCGGGCTCCACTGGTCCTTCAGGATGTCGAGGCAGATGGCGCCGTTGGAGTTGACGTTGCAGTGGTAAATCTTCGTCGTGAAGTGGACCTTCGGGGGCTTGAACGGGTAATCGGAGGGGAAGCTAATGTTCAAAAAGAACACGCCGCCCGTGTACGCCGAGTCGGGAGGGCCCATGATGGTGGCCTGCCAGTTGAACAGGTCGTCTCCGACTGGTCCCGCCGAGCAGTTCGCAGGCGGATCATTGCCCAGGTCCGCGAGCTCCTTCTGAATGCGCTTCAGGGCCATCGTGGCCACCGGGCGCCTGCGATCACGCGGGGGCAAAAAACTGGATCCGATCTTGAGCTAAAGCGGCTACGGAGGGCCTCTTGGAGGTCTCTTGGGGCGTCTTGGGGGCCTCTTGGTGGCTCTTTGGGGCGTCTTGGGGGCCTCTTGCAGGCCTCTAGGGCTCTTCTTGGGCGCCTCCTGCTCGGACGTCCATTCCCCGTGCATGTTTCGCTCTCGTGCGTGTGTTTGTTTTCGCGACAGGATCCAGGATGCTCCTCGATGCCCCTCGCCGAGAAAAAAATGCGCACACCCGAGCGATGCCAAGCTACTCTGCGTCTGGCGATCAGCGCGGGGGGGTCCCCCCCGAAGGGAGCGTCAACCAGTCCGAGCCCGTGGACCGGGAGTCCGGCGTTTGCGGCGGGTGGCGTGGGCCGACTGGGGCCAACGTCGCGCGGCAAGGTTTACCCACGACGGGGTCGATCTGGGGCTGTCGGAGGGGGTGGCCCCCCCCCCCCCGCGCATTTCTTTCCAAACGCAGAGTGACGTTGTCCCTTGGCTGCGGGTCATAACTCGGTTCCCTGGCGGCCGTTCGGGGCGATCTGGACACCTCCGGCCCGATCTCGGCGAGGCGCAGCCGCTGGCGGGCACCCCGAGGCCGGAAGGCTGCCGAGAACAAACGGAGAGACGTTCGGAAGCCTCCAGCCTCGAAGCCCTTCCGCCCCCCCCCCTGGGACTGCAGCTCCCCTCTGCTCGTTGCCCCTGAGCTCGTCGTCCCTCCGGGAGGCGGCCTCGGGCGGCCCGTGCGGAAGGGCCCCCTCCGAGGCAGCCAAAAAACTGCCCCGGCACAGGCCAACAGGGCTCCAGAGCGGCCCAAGACGGACTCGAGAAGGCCCCACGGGATCCCCAAGGCTGCCCCACGCGAGCCCAAGACAGCCCCAGGACGGCCAGGAAAAGCCCTGTGAGAGCCTCTCCCAAGAAGCGGAGATGACATGATGGGCCTGTTTTCCACCACCACCACCACCATAAGATGGAGGGGGGAGGGGGTCGTCTTCTTTCTCCTCCTCCTCCTCCTCATCATCCTCCACCTCCTTGCCCCCCTCCAACTTATAGTGGTGGTGGTGAAGCCAGGCCCATCATGACAGGCGTCCAATGTGGCGGCGTGCTGGTCGGTGCTCGAGGGGTCGCCGCACAGAGTGGCTTCGCTGGCGGCGGAGTGGCCGCAGGCACCTGGAGGGGGACAGGCGCCCTCGTGTCTGCGGCGCCGCCTGGCAGCTCGTGGACCCGCTGCGCCGCCCCCTCCCCTCGCCCTCTGCCTCCCCTCCCCCCCCATACCCCTCCTCCGCGCCCCTCCCATGCCCTCCTTCCTTACTCCCTGCCTCGCCCCCCCCCCCCTTGTCACCCCCCCCCTCCTTCCCATCATCGATCCTTCTCCTCACGACTCAAGCCACGTCCCTCTCCTGACTGTCTCCTCAATACAAATACTAATGTTCTCTTTCCCCTGGTGACGTCCGGGAAATGTCCGGCCCCCCTCCGCGCACTGGGTTTTTGCATACAGAATTCCCAGGAGTTGGGCTTTCGCCGGTGTTTTGTTCAACATGCTGTTCTCGCTGAAACGGTGGCCTCATTTTCGGGCTAACCCTCTTTCCGAATCGTGCTCCCGCTGCAGCGCTGGCCGCTGGCCTCATTTCCGCGCTTCCGCTCGTTCCAAATCGTGCTCCCCCTGCAGCGGTGGCGTTATTATTTCCAGAACCATACCACGGCATGGTTTTCGATCCTTCTGAAAAAATGCCCCCCGAAAAAACCATCGGAAATGCTTACACATTCGGTGCCGATTCGTTGATTTCTGGGGCCGCAGAAGCCCCCCCCTCACTTTGGGGCTTCGCCACGCCATGCTATGTCAGGCTACGCGTCCTCCGAATCGCGCCCCCGCTGCAGCGCTGGCCTCATTTCCGCGCTCCCGCTCGTTCCGAATCGCGTTCCCGCTGCAGCGGGGGCGTCACTATTCCCAAAGCCATGCCACGGCATGATTTTCGGTCCTTCCAAATAGCCCCCCAAATAAAAAAAATGACCCCCGAAAAAAACATCGGAAATGATAATAACACATTCGGTATCGATTCGTTGATTTTTGGGCCGTAGAAACCCCCCAGGACCTTAAAAAAACGATCCGGCTGGAAAATGCCGATCCGACTTGACCCCGTGAGGGGTCCAGGGGCCCAGTGCCAGACGATTAATCAAGGAAACCAGACCATCGAGCCTGGCAGCCCGCCGTACTATTCCCCGACATCCGTCTTCGCCCGCCGCAGCTTCCCCCGCCGCCGTCGTCTGCGACGATGTCGCCGCCGGCAGTTTTTGTGCGTCGGGGCCATCCGCCACGCCTCGTGCAAAACTGTCCTGGGAGCCCAGGGAGACATGGAAGGGGGCTCGGGGAACGCAAGGCAGAATGTCGAAAGGAACGGGGGGGGCTTACGCTATAACAGTACCCCTACCAGACGGCACTTGGCATTCGAAAGCGCCCACATCGGACAGGCACGGTTGCGCAGAACAGAAAGCCGGGGTTCTGGACAGGCCGCGGTGTGTTCCACTGTGCGATGCCATGCTTTGCGAGCCCTCGACGCAGATGGGAGGAGTTAGGATGATGCGGGCGGACTCGGGAGGAGTCGTAAATTCCAGCGGCGCTCATTTTTCATAAGGATTCCGTTTCAAATCCTATACACAGGCCTTCCATTCTGTCACAAGGGTTCCTTCTAACATTCTATGTGCAACACGGGTCCTCTGTTGCACAGTGCGCCTGGTGCACACAGGCGCCTTGGTGTACACAACGCTGCAGTTCACGAAGGCATTGTGGTGTACACTTGTGCTGTGCTGTACACGGCTGATGTGGTGTACGCAGGCGCTGTGGCTCTGGTGTACAGAGGCGCTGTGGTGCCCGCAGCATGCGCTGTGGCGCTGCGACGGCTACGGCGACGACGACTGCGGACCAGAACTCCTATGCGGAGACGTATGCGGACACCTATGCGGATCACGATGCGCACGGCGGCAGTGCCCGCAGCGCACGGGGGGGGGGGGGGGGGGGCGTTACGTCATAGGGGAGGGGGGGGGGGGGCCATGACGGCCGTCATGCCCCAAGAACACTCTCCAAATGTTCCAGTTTCCGACTTATTTTCCCTCCCGAATAAACGACAAGGCAGAGGCCCCTCGGGGTCAAAGCCACAACACGCGACATCAGTAGCTGGTCCGGGGTGGATCGCCAACTGATGCACCTGCACCGACTCACGGCCCATCATGGGCCAGGGAAGCAGGCAAACCGATCCTGGCCAGGATCGGTGTGAGGCTGGACCCTGTCGCGACGACGACGCTGGCTTCTAGCACCATTCAGACCTTTCAATGTTGTGCGACCTGCGTCATGAACTTTTCACGTCGGCGGCGAGGCAGAGTTGGCTGCACAAGCGATAAAGCTAAACTGGGGCACCGAGAAGCGGATTGGCCAGGATCTGCGTCATGAACAAGCGCCAACCGTTCAAGATTGAGCCAGCGTGGCGACGACACGTACAGCTGGCAGGGCTCCCCCGAAGGCGACGGGCAAGCCCGCCTTCGACCGGCACCAGCACAGGGGCGGCCCCATTGCCCGTCGGCGGGCTCGCTGCCCCTGCCTCACGCCGCCCGCCCCCAGCCCTCATCCTCCTCCACCTTCTCCTCCTTTCTGCCTCGGCCTCATCATCGTCGTCATCATCATCAGCATTATCATCAGCATCGTCACCATCGTCACCATCATCATCATCATCATCATCATCATCATCATCATCATCATCATCATCATCAGCAGCAGCATGATCAGCATCACCATCATCATCATCATCATCACCATCATCATAATCATCATCATCACCATCATCAGCATCATCAGCATCAGCATCAGCATCATCATCAGCATCATCATCATCATCATCATCATCACCATATGCATCATCAACATCAGCATCATCACCATCATCAGCATCATCATCAGCATCATCAGCATCATCATCAGCAGCAACGCCATCATCAGCAGCATCAGCATCATCATCACCATCATCAGCAGCATCATCATCAGCATCACCATCATCAGCTGCTACTGACAGTAGCAGCACCATCATCATCCCAGCTGTCGTTTTCCTTATTCTCCTCCTCTTCACTCTCCTCTTCCTCCTCCTCCTCCCCCTCCTCCTCATCATCATCATCATCAGCATCATCATCACTCATCCCAGCTCTCGTTTTCCTCCTTCTCATCCTCTTCCTCCTCCTCCTCCTCCCCCTCCTCCTCCTCATTTTCATCCTGTTCCTCCTCCTCCTCCTCCTTTTCCTTCTCCTCCTCCTCCTCCTCCTTTTCATCTTGCTGCTGCCCCACTGTCCCTCCCCCCTGCCCCTGCCGCCGCGGCGGCCGCCCACCTTCGTCGGAACGGGGGGCGGCCCCTTGCCCTTGCCCTTGCCCTTCGGCGCCGCCGTCTTGGCGTCGCCTGCGCGCCCACGCCAACGCGCACACATATCGGAGGCGATCCCAAGGGGGTCAATGCATAGGGGGGCGGGCCGTCAGAAGACTCGGAAAGCGTCCGGCCTCCTGAGAAGTTTCTGGGACCCTCATAAGACAGAGACGGCTGAGACGCCCCGCCTCCTTGTGATCTGGACGCCTGAATGGGCACGATGCCTAACAACAAATGTTGTACAAAACCAGCAGCGACCGCTGTTTGGCATGCGGCCTTCAGCCTCAGATGGTCAAGGCCCGCGGCAAACCGACAGCAAATCAATTTCAAATTAAACCAGGAGTCCTGTCAGTCTCCGTACCCATTGCTCGAAGCCTCTCAAATGGGGTCGGAGTAAAATGGGTTTGAGGATCGCGCCACATCGGCGATGCATCGGCGATGCACCGGCGAGGCCTCGTCGACGTCGACGATGCATGCATCGGCGACGTCCACGTGAAGCAGATCGGGCCGCACGTCGAACGGCATCGGCGATGCATCAACGATACGGCGCGATCCTCAGACACCATCCACTCCGACCCCATCCAGGAAGCCTAACATCGGTCAGGCATGTCGTCCTACAAGCGGATTTTGGA